TAATTCCTCATAACTTTTAACATCAGAAGCAGTTACATACTGTGTTGTCCTTCTCCTGTTTGTTGGGCCTCAATCTCACAAAAAAAAGAACTTTTAATACAGCTCCTCTGATACAGCAGCTGGCTTTAAACTGTGAACAGGCTTAACAAACATCGGTTCCTGGCGTGACTTGTGAACTTCATTCAGAAGCGGAATCCCAGGTGCGAGACATGCAGCTTGTTTTCGGATGTAGCTTGTTTTCATTTTTTTTTTTTTATTTAACGGAGTAAGGCCAGGAAGCACCAGAGATGATAGATGACTGTGTTCTGGCGCAGGTGGATGGGGATAAGTTCCAAAGCAAACAACATGCAAATCAGATCGAATCAATTAAGCTGAGCAGTGGTTCGTGATAAGGCTGTGCTCCATATTTATGAGCTGTGATTGGGGGAAGCGATTTGGGTTCACGGAGGCCGCACACACCGCACTGAAAGGTCAACAGCAATAATAACACTAATAAAAACTGATGACCCTCACACGACTGAGGCAGAACGAGTCCCCTTCCCCCGTTTTGGGTGGCGTCAAAACGCCTGCCGTTCGGTCCCCCTGACAGCAGCAGCACCCTCATCTTCTATAACCGGCCTCCCCTAAAAACTGCAGGCTTATCATTTATTCAGCTAAAGAAAATGGTTTATCAAGTTAAAGCTTATACAGAAATAGTCTACTGCAATATAAATACATACTTACAACACATATAATAAATAATTTGAATAAATATGTTTCACGGCGATATACATCCGACACATACCCCCTATCTATCTATGACTGTATCTGTCTATCTGTCTATTTATCTATCTATAGATCTACATGCATGTACCACTGTAAAAATACCTTGCTCAATGGTAAAACTGCTGTGTCCCAATTGGGAATCAAACCTAAAAGCCCCCCTCCCTGCTACACTACATTGCTGCCTACATTTCTTTTTGTAAGCATGGTTATGCATAAACAACTGACATACTCAATTTTCTGTTGCCCAGAATATAAGCAGTTACTGGAGGCACAGTCCCAAAGCAGTGGGAGACAGTATCAATAGCAATAAATATATCAAATTTAGGGTTATAATGGTTAAATAGTCATTGATTCTGTGTTTATTTGAAAACTATGTGGCACCTGCTTGACAGTTTTATCACTTTGTGATGGGTAGGAGACTGAAAGTTCCATTTAAAATTGCTTTGACACAGATGTCCCATAAATTTGGATGTTCAAATAAATTGCACACCAATCATTTAAGGTGATATCTTCTTTTTTATCACTTTAACACAAGTTTAGACTGCCAAATAGAGACCTGTGTTTCTTATTTTTCATTTCCTGTTCAAGCATCAGAGCAGAGTCCAGGGAGGAATGAATGCGCAAACTGAAAATCAAATATGATTTTGGCGTAGCAACACATCGGCGAAGTGTCACCAAAGCAATTGGTACTTCAAATGTGAATCAACGATCAGTAACAAGAACAGTATCTACAAAGATACTGCAAAACCAAAGCCATACGTTATACAATCAGCTAGTCTTTATGAAAGTATTAGATCATACAATGCCAATTATAGCAGTAACTTTAATTTAATAATGAACACATGGGTCTTTGAACAGTCTGATGCTCATCGTCCCTCAGGCTGTGGAACTCTGGCACATCCTGGGTATTGAGAGGTGCTGTGCGCCCAGTGGGACTGAAATTCTCTCCCTTTTGTCTGATTTTGGCAGGCAGGGAACGGGGAACCGTCTCTGACCATCTGGACTGGAGAGGCAGGGAGACAGATGAAGAGAAAGCCGTGGCCACCGAACCGGGATCCAGGCACCCCCCAGACAGACTCCACAAAGGGGTCCCAGGAGTCCTCAGCAAAATGGGAAATAAAAATGTCTTAGTGCTTTGATTATATTTCAGTATTTCCTGACTCATATTTGGATAAAATAAAGCATGTCTGCATTGGAAATTACTGTGATTATTGTAATTATAAATATTGCTATTTTACTAATTTACACCTCTTGCAATATATAGGTCCATGCATCATACAAAAGCTATAAATACATGTGATCATTGATTTAGACCTTTGTAAAGGGGGTGGGGGTCTCTCAGACACAGGGCGGCCATTTTAGATTAGATTAGCAGCATGAGAAGAAGTGGAGGGCTAACGTCACGTGCGTTAAATGGGTGAGTGTGCACTCAAACACACGCTCTTGAACAGAGGGGGGAATGCAGCAACGAGAGCATCTTGCGAATATGATTGACTATTCCTGATTGGCCGCACCGAAGCCCACCTGCGTCCAACATCTCCTGGCAAACCAGCCCCGCCTACCTCTCTTCAGCAAATCATACATACTACAGACCCTCACATATCTGGCTGGCTGAAACTTCATGTGTATGTAGTATCAGCAGAGAGATCTAATTTTTTTACATTTTTAATTGGTTTTGCTTTGCTTTACCTGAAAGCTGTGGGCCACTGGAATGCAGCTGTGCTCCCATATTCTGTTTCATATTTCATATTTATATTTCATACCCCAATGCACAGACATTCACACTTTGGGTGAAAGGGTCCCAGAGCAACGTGGTATGAGTTGTCAGTATAGAGGTCCTTAGCATACTCAGACTGGGGTTCAAACTCGCAACCATCAGGTGTCAGTATACACACTGACACACCCCCCTGGCTCAGCCAATTACAGACCTTTCACTGGGACTAGAGGTGTCCTCTGCAAGTGACAGGTGCTGCGAGCCATCTCAGCCTTGGATGATTGTACCTCCTGCTCTATCTGCATAATATTCTTTACAGTAGTTACAGAACCAGCCTCATCACCATTACACTGCTAACCTTATACCTGTATTATTACAAGAACTTGTGCCACAGAAAAATCAAGGCTTATCGATAAGCATGCAATGCCGTGGAGATGCCGGGGATTGAACCCGGGGCCTCATACATGCGAAGCATGCGCTCTACCACTGAGCTACATCCCCTGCACACATACATACACACACACACACACACACACACACGCTCACACACATACACACGCTAAATGATAACACTAACACTAAAGAAAACACTGAAGAAGAAGGCTTCTTTTGTCAGTATCTCTCCGCCCACACTGGGAGATAAAAGTGTGTGTCCACATGTGTCAACATGTTTTTAATACAGAACAGGCAACTGCAGGCAAACTCCTGAGGTGTATTTAGAACTTTGTAGGAATGCATCATAACCTGACAGGTTTTATTTTTTTATCTTTAGCCTTATTACTATTAATACATATGGGCTTTGGAGTTACAGTATATTCACCTCTTCAGACAGTACGAGCACCTATTAGCCTTATTACCATTAATACATATGGGCTTGGGTGTTACAGTATGCCCACCTCCTCAGACCTCCTCAGTTACTGCTACACCACTGGAGACAGTGATTCTCCCAGGTTGGAGGGCAGGGTGAGGGGGAAGGGAACAGAGTTAAGAGTTTGTTTTGAAATGGACTAATCTGCGGTGTGGCTCAGATAAAAAGCTAAACACAACACCTTCAACCTCAATCAATACCCACTGCTATGTGGATGAAAGGTTTTGGAGCCAAGATGGCAAAGGGCTCATAGGAAGTCGAAGCACATTGCAGTTTGTTGTCACTACTGTTTTCCAAAGATCTATTGCTTTCTTCATGACCTTCCCCCTCTTATGGAAAGGTCCAGTGAGAGGTGAAAGGGACTCTGGGATAGGCCCAATCTCACTATCACTATGACCTGGAAGAACTATATTCCCTGTTGTGGTGTAATACCACCCAACTTCAGATATGTAATTCGATAATAAACCAGTGGCAAGCCATTGCTTCTGTCTAATCAGAATCTCATGTTGCAGGAAACCAATTTCAAGCAGCTATTCTACAGCAGAAAATTCTCTGGTGGTTCCCCTATAGTAAATGTACGCACAGGCAAATCTTTGTGGGCCGGCCGAATCCCCCTTCAGAAATCAAAGGGCACAAATGAGCTTTATGATGGCTCTTGCACAGAAAAAAATCAACACATTTTTTTGCTGATTCTCTATCAGAGATTGAGCATCTAGATTTGAAACCAGGAGCATCATTTCAGCAAAACCTCAGGTGTAGCAAAGTGATGTCACATACAATTAACAGACAAATAGAATTGATTTATGATAATGGAAAATATACTTAAGCTTACGGCTTATGACGTACTTGGAGTAAAAATCGATATAAGCATTGAGAACGACTGAGTGAATTTCTGGCCTACAGAAAGGTTGTTATTAAAGTAATGAACTATTGAATAGATTTATGCAAGAAAGTTTTGACAGGGAATTTACCATATGGCAGTTTCCAAGCCTTTCCATACCCAAGTGATGCCCCTGGTCTAGACTAGGACAGGCCAGGAACGAACCCTCTCAGAGACACCAGTGGTGACCTTCTCCCTTCTCTCTGGCGCCCCCTTCAGGACACTCTTCACACTGACTCCACCAAGTAAAAAGGTCTGTTACAGAGATTTGAGTGTAAGATTTAAAACATCTACAACTAAGTATTGTTTGATACGATTTTATTGTTTTTAAAAAGTTCTGTTGACAGGGAAAAAATTAAGGCAAGCAAGTATCAAGGGACATCCTCAAAATATGGATACGTTTGTGTTTACTCGCTGGGAATGTCCAGGGAATGGAGCTGGAAGGCTAGTGATTCTGCTCTCCAAGGTCATGGTGCAGAAGCAGTGGAATTTATTCTGTCAGTCTTTTCAGCACAAACATTACCATGCCCAGGGTGCCCACAGGGAAACAGGTAAGAGGGAAAAACAGCAATAAAGCTTTTCCCAGTTACAAGACAAGACATGGACATTAACATTGACATTTAGGCATTTCACAGACTTACAAAAGTGCTTATGAAGAGCTAAGGCCATAAACAAGGTATCTTAAATTATTATACTTTCTGCATAAAAAACTGAACTGCTTTAAGGCAGTTCTAAGGCTGTTTCTTGGCTTGTTGACAAAACATACAGCACACTGAAGATGGTGAATTGAACCCAGAACCTCATCCATACAAAGCACATACTCTACCACTGAGTTACATCCTGAGAGGGCAAAACATTGACAAGTCCCAACACTGTGAGAACAAAAAGTCTCTGAATTATTGTCATATCATTTCAAAATTTACCCTTAACTGCTTTCCACCTGTAAACCAATGTTGGCTGAAAAAATAACCTAAAGAATATTCTGTTGTTGAAAGTATTTTAACATGGGGACATTCCTTCATGCATGAAATCCAATATCCAAAAATTGTAGATCATGTAAGTTGTCCAGAGGAACCCACATATCATTATGTCTGTATTTCCTTAGCATTTCAAATACATGTCAGATCAAGACAGTGTTTAACATTGTCCATTTCACCTAGTGTTCTGAACCCATCCCCCACCCCAACCCCAACCCCTACCCCCAAAAATGTCAAGGAACAAGGAAAAAAAATCCATGTAACATGTTGTCCATTTCACAGTCCCTGGGGGGTCCCTTAGAAATTGATTCACAGGTCAGGAGGCTGTGAGTGACAAATATGGTAAATGGATTCAATGGGGTGGGGGGGGGGGTCCTCGTTTAGAAAGATCAGGATATCGAGCGAAGACGGAGTTCCCCTTCTCCATATCTTTTGGCAGAGCTCGGTGGCAGATCCTGTTCTAATAAAGACAGGCAGACCATAATGCTACAGAAGCCTCACTGTGTGTGTGTGTGTGTGTGTGTGTGTGTGTGTGTGTGTGTGTGTGTGTGTGTGTGTGTGTGTGTGTGTGTGTGTGTGTGTGTGTGAGTGTGTGAGTGTGTGAGTGTGTGTGTGTGTGTGTGTGTGTGTGTGTGTGTGTGTGTGTGTGTGTGTGTGTGTGTGTGTTTGTGTGTGTGTGTGTGTGTGTGTGTGTGTGTGAGTGTGTGTGTGTGTGTGTGTGTGTGTGTGTGTTTGTGTGTGTGAGTGAGTGTGTGTGTTTGTGTGTGTGTGAGTGAGTGTGTGTGTGTAGTGTGTGTGTGTGAGTGAGTGTGTGTGTGTGTGTGTGTGTGTGGTGTGTGTGAGTGAGTGAGTGAGTGTGTGATTGCAGCATGTTAATCTATTACTTTAATTTAAATTATTTATTCATTTATTTACGTTTAGAAATGTTTTACTTCTTGGCAGTGAAGACTCTGACCACAGCGAGTAGTGAGCTCGCGCTCTTAAAAATCCACTTCCAACACTTTATTTTATTATTAAATTTATAATTCTACTACTACTCTGAGAGTACTGCTGACTCTTGTACCATGTTATCTACATTTCTGGTAGTTTGTATTAGCCTGCTTTACCAAAGCAGTTCTGTTATGATTAAATAGGAATTTTACATTTAGAAACATTTACAACATTTTTTATTGTTTTACAACATTTCAGTGTTTTAAACAAGTTTTGTTAAGGGGAAAAGACATGAGGCAAACAAAATTCAAGGGACATCCCAGAAACATGGATTTGTGTGTGGGGAATGTGTACTCAAACTTGCTGGGAAGTTTCTGGGAATGGAGCTGGGAGACTAGTGATTCTGCTCACTATGTCCGCTGTGCAGAAGCAGTGGAATTTATTCTCTCAGTCCTTTCAGCACAAACATTACCATGCCTGGGGTGCCCACAGGGAGACAGGTAAGGGGAAAAACAGCAATAAAGCTTTTGCCGGTTTAACACCATTTAACCTAGCTCTCCAGAGACACAAACTAAATGTACAAGCAGCATAAAAAACAAGAATCTGTGGAAATTCAGAGCAAGTCTTAAAGGAGCAGCTCACTCGAAGCCTTACAGCTGGAGGTCACCATTGGTTGACTTGACTTGTCATATTCCTAATACAGTGTGTGATTGGTGTCGCATACTCAGTGTTAAAAATAGTGAGGACTCACCACGTGAATGGGAGGAGGAAGAGATTCACAGGGTAAGTTCAGTTAAAGCTGGAAAAAAGTGGAAAAACAGCAACAACACTGTAATGCTGATCCTGGGCTCCAAGCTCAAATTTAAATGTATCAACAACAATATCTGCTTTCTTTGCAAAAAAAGGCAATCACTTAAGGCTGGGAATCAAATCATAATTTGTCATCACATGTGTCTAACTTAGGCTTGAAACTTGCCTCAGGTTTCGTGGGACCCATTCGAGCACGCAGAGGAAGCATCCTCTCTTCCTTCATTACATTTCACTGGCAGTGACTGCGGAGTGACTGGGTGAGGTTTGTGCCATATTTCACCTGACCACATCTCATAAATCAGGAGAGGGAAGAGGATGCTGTGTGTGTGTGTGTGTGTGTGCGTGTGTGTCTGTGTCTGCGCTTATATGTCCGCACATATGTATGTGCATGTGTGTGTGTCCATGTCTGTGCAGGTGTGTGTGCATATGCGTGTGTGTGTGTGTGTCTGTGTGTGTTTATATATGTGTGTGTGTGTATGTGTCTGTGTGTGTGTTTATATGTGTATGTGTTTGTGTGTGTTTATATGTGTGTGTGTGTGTGTGTGTTTATATGTGTGTGTCTGTGTGTGTTTATATGTGTGTGTGTGTCTGTGTGTGTTTATATGTGTGTGTTTGTATGTGTGTGTGTCTGTGTGTGTTTATATGTGTGTGTGTCTGTGTGTTTTATGCCTCCCTCTTTGACAGCTGATTCGCCTCTGTGAGCTTTTACTTAATAAAGGGGTTCAGCCCTCCATACTGGCCCAGAGCTGTGTATGAATGAGTGCATATGCATATGTGTGTTATTGTTCATTTGACCTCCATCTCCCGGTTCCTCGGACGCCATTTGCGGCAAAGTTCATTTCCTCCCGCTAAATCGCAGAGTAATTATTCCACATGGCGGCTCTGTCAATCAACCGCGATGTAGTGACACAGACGGGCCACAGTGTTGCCCTTCCCAAAACCTCCAATTACTTCACCCGCCCATTTACAGAGTAACCCCCACCCCCACCCCCCCCGTTTTCAATTATGAGAGTCTCACTTGTACAACATGATCCCATTTAGCAGTTAATTCTTTTAAGCGCTCCATTTTGCATGGGTCTGTGCCACTTTGCCCCAGTGCTCTGGGCCAGTATGGAGGACTGATTCCTTTATTAACTAAAAGCTCACAGGACTGAGGAGAATCGGCTGCCATGACGATGGCATGTGCTCATGACCTCGAGTACCAGGAAATGGAGGAGAGAGAGAGAGAGAGGGAGAGAGAGAAGGAGGCAATGAGAGAGAGAGAGAGAGAGAGAGAGAAGGAGGCAATGAGAGAGAGAGGGAGACAGAGAGGAGTAAATGAGAGAGCGAGGGTGACAGAGTGAGAGAGAGAGAGCATAAGAACATTTTTGATGATGAGAACAGGTCATTCAACTCATCTTGGCTGGTCATTTGTCATTTACCTGCAGACAGCATCCAGCAGAGAGAGAGAGAGTGCGGGTGGGAGAGAGGCTGCAGTCAGGGAGCACTGCAAAATGAGCTCCAATTTTTAGCTGTGAAAGATATACAGAAACTAGAAAAGAGTACCAGCACAAATGAGTAAAAATCAACCCAATACTGATGCATTTGCATGCTATCCAAGTTCTTCATTACCTCTCAGGTAAAAACACACGCTCAAGATTAGCAGGAAAACATGGCTGCTGCTTGTCATAGAAAAAGATATAATAGATGTCTTCATGCACAGATATACCCTTATCAGTTCATCGAAGCATGCTGGGTTTGTTCCTGTCTGTCTCTGTTTTCTGTCTGCAGTGTATGTAATGAATGTTTGACATATTGTGTGTGTGTGTGTGTGTGTGTGTGTGTGTGTGTGTGTGTGTGTGTGTGTGTGTGTGTGTGTTTGTGTGTGTGTGTGTGTGTGTGTGTTGTGTGTGTGTGTGTGTGTGTGTGTGTGTGTGTGTGTGTGTGTGTGTGTGTCGGTGTGTGTTTGTAATGGTTTTGGCAATATGAGAATGTCATTTCCATGAAGCAAATTTGAATTTTAGAGACAGAAAGAGAGGAGACACAGCACCAGAGATATAGGTGGGGTGGGGGAAGGGGGGATGGGGGGGGTTAGCTGTACGTACATTACAGTCATTTAGTCATTTTGCAGATGGTTTTGTGCATAGCCATTTACAGTGTGGGGGAGCGTAAGTGCATTCACCTGATTAATATAATCAACAGTGCCAGGCCAGGATAACAGCAATCCCAGATCAGTGAGTATATGCAACATCACTAAAACACTACTGCAAGATAACTAAGCTAATGTAAGCTAAAATACATCTCCTGGGTACAAACATACAAACCATGCAATCACAATAAGCCCTCATTAGAAAAACATAACGATAAAAACCATAAACAAAACCTATGGAATATGATATTCTCAGTCTGTGCCAAGATGCAGTCAGAAGAACTAAGGCTTCGGTCTGTGTTTGAATATGGCCAATGATTGTTATGTCCTGATATCGGTGAGATCTTTGTTCCACAGTTAACCATCTATTTATTTATACTGCTCTTTATTATTTTTTTTATTTGGGTCTTTACTGTACTTGCTGTTTTATAATTACTGTGTACCTTGTAGCCCTGTGTCCTCGCTGGAGTTGTTTTGATCTCTTGTTCCCCTTATTTACCATTCAGTAGAAAACATTTTAATACAACGGTATGTTTTGAAAGGTTTTATCATTGGAATGGGTTAGACACGAGGGTATGGGTTTTGGGCTTGCAGTCCTCAGGGTGGAATGAGTGGAGCTGTTCTAAAAAGGAGGAGGACCCCCCCCGTAGGAAGAAAATATGGCAAGGCAAAGGTAGTGATGGGGAGGGGGTGGGATGCCGGAGATGCAGAGCATGATGGGAGATGAGGTACGTGCGCTTTCATGCTTGGGTGGAGACCGGAATTGATTGAAGGGGTTGTCTGAAAATGATTTTCCCGAACTTTGTTTTAACAAACTCCAATATGTCATTGCAAACATGACAAATAAAACTAACTTGCCAAGTAACGAACGACATAACCTACAGAGGCTGTCCATGTCTCTTGCACTTAAAGCATGCTGATAAACTGGACGGGCACGATCTAGAGACAAAGGACCGCTCTAATGAGCTGTCAGGTCTCGTGTCACCTTGTTTCCTCAT